ATTTGAGTTCTGCACCCCACCTTTCTCCTGCTCCATCAGGGACTCTGTGTTGTGTTCCCTGTCAGGGCAGTCATTGCTGGTAGCAGGCACCATCTAGTTCTTCTGGTCTCAGGCTGAAGAAGTCTCTGGTTTATGTGGCCCTTTCTGTATCTTGGGCTACTACTTTCCTTGTGTCTTTGGCGTTCTTCATTCTCCTTTATTCCAGGTGGTTGGGACCAATTGATGCATCTTGGATGGCCGCTTGCAAGCTTTTAACACGGTAAGGAGAATATTTTATTCACTGTTATAATCTGGAAAGCACAGTGCTTGACTCATTACAGACACTTCAAAAAATGTTTTTGAAACTGAACTGAGGAGCCATTTTATCAGATAGTTTAACATCTGTTAAGGGCTTATGTCTTTTTAATACTTTTACGTCTGTTGAGGGCTTTCTATGTATCAAATACTATAACAAGCATTCTGTAAGTTTTATTTTATTTGGTATAACAATAATTCTAGGGCATTGAAACACATCTATCCTTACTGATTTCACTATCTGGGGCAAGTCATGTCTTACCTTGGGGGGGCAGGGGTGGATCACTGCAGGCCATAGGTACTAATTCCCCAAACCAAAGAAACCCATTGCAATCAAGTCAATTCCAACTCATGGGACTATCTAGGACAGAGTAGAACTGCCCCATAGGGTTTCTGAGGCTGTAATCTTTACCAGAGCATACTGTCACATCTTTCTCCCCAAGCCAACTGGTGGGTTCCAACCACCCACCTTTCTGTTAGCAGCTGAGCACTTAACCACTGTGCAACCAGGACTCCTTCAGGTCTTGATTAGAAGTATTATTTTCCCATGTAGCATCTGAAAGAGTAACAAGGACACTGTTGGTCACATTCGAGGTTTGTATCTATAAAGTGTAAGGGAAGTTCAGTTCCGTTAGTCAGAACATTAAAAAAAAAAAAAAATCCTAACAGTCTCTCCTTTGAAGTATAACACTTTAGCAAGTTTTTAGCGGAACTCTGTAGATAAATGAGAGGTAGCTAAATAAGAGAAGCAGGGGCACAGTGAGATTGAATAATTTGTTTTATATCATAACTTTTTAAGATTTTTATTACTATTCCACACCACCACTACCCCCCCCAAAAAGAATTTTTAAATTACCTATGTGGAGGCATAATGACCAAAGTGACCAAATGCCAAATAATAACAGAGCTGTATAGATGAAACTCAAGATTGATTCTAGGGGAAAACTTTTAAGATGTTGGGGAAAATCAACAAAAATACTAGAATATAAAGCTATATGCCCAAATATATATGCCCCTCAGCTCCAGTCTCTGCAGCTCTTGCCTGGAGCATTCAATCTTTTATAATTCACTTCTTGTTGCCAATGATTTTTACTATCTTCAAATAATAATAGATAAACCTAGGCAGTTAATACATTAAAAAAAAACCTACATTCCTTTCTTAAGGAGTTTATTTTTTGTTTCAGAAAGAGGAGTTAAGGACATTCCTTTTTACTTTAGTCTGTATCCCAGCCTTTAGAACACAGCATGCAGAGCTTGTCGCATTTGCTGAAGGCCAAAAAACCGTGAGACTCAGACGAATTAAGCAATTACCAGCCACTTGGCCTTTTCGCAGAAATACACAAAACGTGTAGAATCGCTTAATTTTATCCCCTCCTAGCCTCTTCACATGGAAATTGGCTGCTCGGGCGAATGTTATTTTTCACTGCAGCCATGTGTAGAAGAGCGATTAACACACTCGCTCGACAAAACCCCTTCCCAGGCCATTTGGGTAGCTGCACGCGTTCACACCCCAGGCTGACCCCGATGAGCCTTCACGCGCAGCCTTTTCGTTTTTGCGGCTAGCCGCAGAGAGAGGGGAGGAGGGGGGCGCACCTCTAACTATGCATCAGGCCGTGAGGGCTATATAAACACTCAGGTCTCGGGCCTGGTGGAAAGGGCTACGATTGCCCACGAGCTGGCAGCAGCCTTCCGCAGTGTCCCCCAACCTCATGGACATTGCCGAGAGCTCGGAGAGTGGAGCCGGCGACCGCGCGCGCTGCCGCCGCCGGCTGCCCGCTGCCCCCAGCGGCCAGACGCAGCGCGGGGGCGCGGACTCTGGGTACCGTTGCTCGGCTCGGCCCTGCCCCTTCCCTCCCGCGCGCTCCTCCCGCGCGCGCCTCAGCTTCCCCTCTCCCCGCCTCGCGCCCGCGCTCGGCTTGGGTTGCTTCTCCTGGGCCTGGGCTCACGTCTCCTGCGCGCCTTGTGCTCCCTACCCTGCAGATCCCCACGCTTCTGGAGACCGTGGGTTGACCCCCGAGGTGAGAAAGAGGAGGAGATGCCGCAGCACGCCAAGGAGGCGGTGAGTGAGCTGCGCTTAGCGGGCCGCACCTCCTAGACGCGCAGATAATTGCCCAGGGTAAAGACGCGGAGCCCGGGGGAAAAAGCACCTGGCCTGCCCCTCGCTAATATCCTGCCTGCCGGAGGCTCTGCAGGTGCTGATACGGCGGGTGTGGCCTCCGGAGCAACTTGGACACACAGATTGTGCCGGGAGCGAAGCTGCTGAGAGCCCCGGGGTCACATTCCCTGCGGGGGCGAACAACGCTGGGTCACACAGGTTTCCACTTTCTGGAAGGAGGTGGTTGGTAACTGCGATTCATCTCCTTTCGTCCCCAGGTGCCAGATAGCCCTGTAATGACCGAAGCCTCAGGAAAGCTTTCCCAGTACAGACACCCAGTCAGGTGAGTGACGGGCGTCACCCCTCCAGCCCCAGGAAAGAGTCAGAGGCTTCGCACGGCGCAGCTCAGCAGCTGGTCCTGCTGTTTTTCTCTTAGAAAAATGTGTTTTCAAGGTTAAGACTACTTTATTTTCCCACTCGCGGATGTCCGTTTACTCACCAGATTGAAAAACGTGTAGGAGTTCACGCTCCCACCTAACAGAACTAATCACTGCATTCTCAGTAAACCATTAAAAAATGTATTATGAAGAGGGAAAGTGACTGATATAGTAAACGTAGAACAATGGCAAAATAGAGGTTTTTTGTTTGTTTGTTTTTTAAGTGCTAAAGAGGACGAATGAAATTGACTTCACACCACGCAGAGTGTGTATGTTCTTATTCTTTTGCAAACCAGAAGGAAGAATGGAGTTCACAGTAGGAGTATGGCAGCAAATCAAGCTTGATACGTTAAGACAAAAGTGGAAATGTAACAAAATCCTGAAGATCATGAAAGGGGTCAAAAGTTGTTAACATACGATGAAGAGTTAATTTACTGTTCCTAGCCACGGGAAGGCAGTTGGGATCCACCAGCTGCTCCTTGGAAATTCTAGTCTGTCCTGTCAGGTCGTTGTGAGTCGGAACTGACTGGACCACAACGGGTTTCGTTTTGGTTTAGCCACAGGAAATTAGCCTTTCTATAAGATTCTTTATAACTTTTATTCAAGTGTTAAGTCTACTAATTCTGCAGTTTGCCTGCTTCAGAGAGCTGTTAAATGCATTTATAAATAGCACGTAGTAGCCAATAAATAGGTATTATTTCCTACTATGTGCTAGCACTAGTGGAGGACACAGGAAAAGAAGAATTACAGAAGCATGGTAAGTGCTATAATAGTTGAGTCTGTTTTCCAGGTAAGTACAGGGCATGCAGTGCCTAACATGGCCAGAGGGAGTGAGTGGTGAAGGGCCAGGAAAGGTATGTGTCATAGATTATGGTTACCTGACTGAGTCTTGAAGAATGTAGCCAGATGGTGGGTGGTAGGTGTGTGGAGGAGGCAAAATTAGAAGAAATAGTGTAAAAAAAAGAGGTGCAGGGTCAGGGAACAGCATAGCTCTTTCTGGGAGCTCCAAGGAGCTGGGATTTGGGTTTGTGAAGCTAGTGTCATTGCAGCCGGGTAGCTAGAGGCCAGATCTTGTTGTCCCTGTACACCTTAGTACAGAGGTTTGTCCTTATCCTGGATGTAATGTTGGGAATTCACGGTCTTTATTCTGTAGGTAGTTTTGGGGGTTATTCAAAGGATTTTAATCAGTAGAGTGGAGTGATCAGATTTGCGTTGCAGAAAAATAACTCTGGAAGTGATATATAGGTTTAGTTAGTTGCCAAGAATAAGACTAAATGGGAAGCTATTCTGATTATTGGAAACCCTGGTGGCGTAGTGGTTAAGTGTTATGACTGCTAACCAAAAAGGTTGGCACTGTGAATCCACCAGGTGCTCCTTGGAAACTCTCCTCTGTCCTGTAGGGTTGCTATGAGTCAGAACTGACTCTACGGCAATGGGGGTTTTTTTGGTTTTATTCTGATTGTTCAGACAGGAAATTATGAAGGGCCATTCTAAGGCATTGGAAAAAGGAATGGGACTGAGTGAATCTGAGCAATATTTAGATCGCAAAATAGATTGGGCTTTATAATGCATTGGATATGGTAGGTGAAGAAGAGGTAAATGATCAGAATGGCTCCCGAATATCTGGCTGGTGACCAGGTGAATACTGTACTGATTGGAAATGAGAGCTTGGAACAGATTTGAGGAGCAAGATAGTCTGATTTTCCTTTTATCAATAGACAGCTGCATACATAGGTCAGAGGCCCAGAGTCAAGACCTTAACTAGAAATCATCTTGGGAGCCTTTGATAAATGAACACTTTTGGAAATCATGACAATGGGTCAGCTCATCTTGGATCGTGTAGAGAGGAGAGATGATCACTCTCAACAAAGCCCTCGGGGAAGGCCAGCATCAAATCGGTGTACACAGAAAGTCTGTAAGAAAACTGAGACGAATCAGTCCAAAAGGAAGAATTCAGGAAAAGTATGGAGCCCGTGGAAGAAAAAAGGGTCCATAGTGAAAAATTCTGGGGAAGAAAGTGTGCTAAAGATTAAACAGTATTCTTTGAGTTTGACAGTTCAGGTTTTGACAATTTCAGTTACACATTGGGAAGTTAAGTGGTAACCCTATAGGACAGAGTAGAACTACCCCATAGGGTTTTCAAGGCTGTAAATCTTTACAGAAGCAGACTGCTACATCTTTCTCCTGTAGAGTGGCTGGTGGAGTTGAATGGCCCACCTTTTGATTAGCAGCTGAGTGCTTTAACCACTACACCACCAAGGCTCCGTGCTTTTTATATAACCAATTCCTTCCTTGTCTAAACCACTGTAGCAATTTATATGTACTACTGTTAAACTTATTTTTATTACTTTATATCTTGACTAGTATTGTGTAAGAATTTTTTTTTACTCAATTATCAACTTCTTGAGGGTATTGTGTGCTGTTGAGTTGATTCTGACTCATAGTGACTCTATAGGACTGAGTAGAACTACCCTATAGGGTTTTCTATGCAGTAATCTTTATGAACCAGATTGTCAGGTCTTTTCTTCTGCCTAGGGGCTGATGGATTTGAACCGCTGACCTTTTGTTTAGCAGCCAAGCACTTAACCATTGCACCACCAGGGCACCTTCATCTTGAGGGTAGAGGCCATGATTTATTAGTTTTTGAATTATGAATTATGTCTAGTACAAGGGATAGCTAAAATATTTATTGAATGACCAAATAATTTGGTGTTTATTTACCTAGGCATTAAATTATAAACTATTTTTTACCATTTTGGTAGGAACACTTATAAGCACATTGACCATTTTTCTACCTTTTAAAATAGAGTATACTGTGCATGATGTACCATCCCTTTGTTTAGGATTCAGGGCCACAGTAATAAGTATCAGTTACCTTGGGCTGTAATAGAGTGAGGCTCTCAGAGGCCATATGGATACATGGGGCTATTTATTCTACAGTAAATGACGGCACTGTAGTTGGTGATTCAGCCTTATCCATCCTCCTTTCTTTTCCTTGGCTGAAAAATAGGAGAAGCCCAGATGGCAAGATTAATATTTGTGAGATTTTTGGAATTCTGAGGTAATCGTGTTTATATACAAATTATTTGTATAAAACCAAAATTACTATCTCAGACTTTTCCAATATGGGTTTCTCAAATTTACTTGGGTGTAGAGGAGGGAGGTGGATCAAGGTTTCGGATAGCCTTCCTACACCTCCAATAGTGAGTAAGTAGACAAACTTATAAAAAAAAATTTTGTACTTTTCTAAACTTACGCTGGCTATATCTATAACTAAGAGTTAAACTTGTGAGTTTTAAGCAAGGTCCTAGGGGATTTTTGCCTTTTGTATGTAAGGAGCATAATATTTTGTTGTCTTTATAAAGTTGGCTATTGTCCGAATTTTTAATCTAGAGGTAGGATTCATATTATTTTTCCTAAAGAAATTTGGAAATTGGAAGACAAACTTTTCCTCCATATCTGGTAAAAATAAATATATCCATAATGCCTGAAGTAAGCTAAACATTAACCTTATGCTTACACAGGGTTTAGTGTGAATTTGTTTGATCCAATTTACAGCTTGGATGAAGATGAAAAGAAAAAATCAACTAGTTATTGACACTTTGGCAAATGGACTCCATGAAAGCTGTGATAATAGCATTTTTAAACTCTCTACCTTAAGGCTGCATCTAAATGCATAAATCAATTGTTGAATATATGGAGCTCTTAAAATTTTATCATTTCATGAATACAAAAATTCTGAATGTGAAAAAATAAAACATATTATGTTGTCTGCTTATTTCAGACTATTTTGGCCAAAATCAAAGTGTTATGATTATTTATATCAAGAAGCAGAAGCTCTTCTGAAAAATTTTCCAATTCAAGCCACAATTTCATTTTATGAAGATTCTGATAGTGAAGATGAAATTGGGGAGCTGACCTGTGATTCAGAAAATTAATCTGATTACTTACTTTGGATGACATTCAAAGCTTATAGGATTTAAATTTAGTGTACAAATGTATCATAATCCTTTAAAATAATTTATTTGTATATAAATTATTAATAAAATGAAATATTTTATGATTACATGGTAGTTTGGCCTTTTTTCCCCCCCATCCTAGAATCCAATGCTGGCATTTAAAATAGGTGCCATTTATAAAATTGTCTTGATTCTATTGTAAACATTTGGGGTTTACAAAAGATAATTTTGGTTTCTTCATCAAATTACAAATTTTTCTTTAGTTATAATTTTGCAGTATTATTTGCAATATTTAATTTTCAAGATTGAATCCTGTAATGTCTGGTATTTCCTACTAATTACCATTGGATGCTGTAGTTACAGGTGCATATTATCTTATTACATAGTGAAGAAAATCACTTCATGCTACCAGTCACACATTATTATCTGTTGTTTGCTAGTGGATGGTCAAAATGCTTTAAATCATTGTCTATCATTGAGAATGGGGGTCAATTTTAGGGCTATTAAATAAGTTTTTAACAAATGATGAGTCAAGTAATTTTCACTTTAAATACTCCTCTGCTGCCCTTACGTCCGGTAGTAAAGTAGCATGGTGTTCAATACATTTGGCATTAGATTGCAAGACTCCACCCCTCTGCCCTGAAATAAAACGAATTGTTTGAGGATGAATTTCATGAAGTCTAAAAAAGTAGAGTGCCAAGGCAGTAATTTGATAGTAGTTTTCCATTTCTGTCGAAGAGGGGGCTAAAAAATTTGGCAGATATAAATGGTCACTAAAGAGAAGTGCTCCATTGTAAAAAAGGGAGTTTACCAGGCATTTCCTTGGCCTGGGTGAAGGATTCTCCAACATCATCCACCTTTCTTTGTTCTGGTTCCCTGCTCCTGATATTATCATATAAAAATAGTCTCATGGGAAGTAAAATAAGAAATTGTCAGTGATTAACTTTTCCTACACGGACTTGAACAACACGTCATTGTTTATGAGAGAGAAAACAGGAGCAATTTCCAAGGTAAAGGTAACATAGTAAACTATGGTCATGAAGTTCTTTTAGCTGCAATAAAATCTTTTCACAGCATGCATTTCAATTGCCAATTTAAAAAAGTGCCTGTAGTAGTCCAGAATATTAATGTGTAGAAGTGAAAGTCAGAGATGGTTACCTAGGTAAGAAATGCCTCTTACTTGAATAGCTACATATAGCCACACATTTTTCCTTCTATTTGAAAAGATACTACAAACATAACTTTGATTTACAGGTACTCTACAATTTAAATAGAAATAGCAAGTTCAAACCATGACGGTGTGTCCAGAATTGGAGAAGTTAGTAATGGGAGGGTGGAGAGGGTTGTTTAGAGCTATGTTTCTTCTGAAAACTTTCTCTTTTCACTAGATTCTACTGTCAGGATCTGTATGTTCCCCAAGGGACATGCAGAATATTCACCAGGTCACCAGTCTGGACCTTGGACATTAGTGACTGGTGTTTACCTGCACAGTATCTGTGCTTCTCTAGTTAATATGTTGGAATAGTATGAAAAACCACTGTCTATACTCCACTAGGAGCCCTGGTGGCACAATGGTTAAGAGCTCAGGCCACTAACCAAAAAGTTGGCAGTTTGAATCCACCAGCTGCTCCTTGGAAACCTTATGAGGCAGTTCTACTCTGCCCTATAGGGTTGGTATGAGTCAGAATCGACTTGACAGCAACGAGTTTGGTTTCTGATTTTTTATTATTCACCAGGCACAATATAATGTAGTTTACATATGACATCTCATTTAATCCTTACAAAACCCTAATCCCATTATTTAGACAGGGAAAATGAGGCTTTGAGATACTAAAGTAACTTGTGTAAGGCTGCGCAGTTATGTCAGGATCTGCGTCCAAGCCAAATCTGTTTGACTCTCAGACATTTTCTTTTCAACACCACGGTTGGAGGTGAGCTGCATCAGCACACAGTTCCTTGCATCTTCCAGGGAAGATAGGAAGTTAAGTGAGGAGGAAGAACTTGTGAGTGGTTGAATGGATCAGAGGGCGACTTTACTAAGTCTTTTACGCATTCATCAGTCATTAAGGAGGATGCTTACAGGTGAGATTTTCTGCTTACCTCACAGAAGTGGCTATTTGCATTTGACAGCTTAGCTATTAAAGGTGTAAAGTTCTGTTTCCTGTACAGCCTGGTGCTTTAGAGGAGAGAGTTTCAGAGAAATGTTGTTAGGTGCCGTCGAGTTCGTTCTGACTCATAGCGACCCAATATGCAACAAAATGAAACACTGACTGGTCCTCCATCCTCACAATCGTTGTTATGCTTGAGACCGTTGTTGCAGCCACTGTGTCAATCCATCTCCTTGGGGGCTTCCCTCTTTTTCGCTGACTCTCTACTTTACCAAGCATGATGTCCTTCTCCAGGGACTGGTCCCTCCTGATAACGTGTCTGAAGCACGTGAGATGAAGTCTCACCATCCTTGCTTCTAAGGAGCATTCTGGCTGTACTTCTGCCAAGACAGATTTATTCGTTCTTCTGGCAGCCCATGGTATAGTCAATATTCTTCTCCAGCACCATCATTCAAGGCGTCAATTCTTTGGCCTTCCTTATTCTTTGTCCAGCTTTCACACGCATATGAGGCGATTGGAAATACCATGGCTTGGGTCAGGCGCACCTTAGTCCTCAGAGAAATAGAAATGCTTTAATAGTGTCATTCCATGTTTCAAGTCATGTGTTAGTACTGCTTCGTGATGGACAGAGAGAGACTGGTGTTTTGGAGTAACAATACTCCAGAGGAATTTATTCCAGACTCGGTCAGCACCAGGGCTGAGGAACAGCTTCACTTAATGCTCCCTTAAATCTTCCCGCGAAATAGCTGTCACCTCCGTCCAGTGCTGAAGTTTCAGGGTGCTGGACCAACTGAGCATGCGTCTGTCTATCCAGCCGACTCTCCCTCCCTCCATTAACCCCTCCCTCCCTTCCCATTGGCTCCGCCCCCACAGCCTCGACGTGCTGCGTCATGGCGCGCCTCACCCCGGGCGACCCCGGAAGTGGGTCGGGGGCTTGGCCTCTGCCCGGCCGCTGAGCCGGAGCTGGAGGTCCTGTCCGCGGAGAGTTTCAGCCGAGCTAATTTGTCTGGCAGCGGACCCTGGGCAGGGCCCGAGGCCAGGGGTTCAAGATGCTAAACGTCCCTTCCCAGTCTTTCCCGGCGCCTGGCTCGCAGCAGCGCGTCGCCTCGGGGGGGCGTAGCAAGGTAAGCGGGTGACACGGTCGGTCTTACCCAACCCTCGCCTCCCGCCAGCGTTTCGCGCTAATGCTCAACCTGTTTTCTCCTCTTCTGCCCCTCTCCCATCTCAGTCCTCCTCTCCAGCTTTGGCTCCCTTCTTCCCTTGCCGGCGACCTCCTTCTGATCCTCTTGCATCTCCAGTTGTCGAACTCTAATCTCACTCTCTCTTACCTGGTATCCTCTTCTTACCCATCCCTTTATTCCGCTTTGTTACTTCTCCTTCTCCAAATCTTTTCTCGCTAATTAAATTGAGACGTATATGATAGGGTCCGGCACTGTGTATGTCGTATTGGCGTCCTTCCCTCAACTTCTCCCCTCTGCTCTTTTGTTTTCCTCTTTCCAAAGGAGTTGTGAGTGATGTGGGTCGCCTAGCAGAAAGGAAAGGCTGGGCAGTGGTGACGGTGACCAAACCTCCAAGGGGTGGGGGCCCTGGAGCTAGGGAGGATTGGAGAAGCGGGGACAAAAGTCTACAAACCTCCCGTCAGGTTTACGGACACTTCTCCAAGCCATGCTTTCTTCCTCTGATACGTGATTGTGTCATCACTTCCCTTTCTACTGATAGCACTTGCTGAGTTTGAAGCTAATATACTACTCTTGAGGTTTTGTTGAGTATTGTTACTGTTAGTAACAGGTAGACTACAAATGCATTTTATATTTGCAAAATTGAGTAATAAAATTGCCTCCTGTGTTCATTGCAATGTGAATGTTGTTTGCTCGTTATTTGTTAGTTACTTATTCTGTAACCACATCTACATTTCTTGTTTTATGAGACTTCCACCTACTTACGTCACTCCTTTTTCTTTTTCATTTCTGGACTCCTGGGCATAAGCATCATTTGTGGTTTTCACCGACTTACTTTTTGTTTTTCTCAATTTGGACCTGGTGTTCTGACCCTAGATCAGAATATGGGATTGAGGGATCTGTAGATTTCTTTAGCTGTTCAGAGGTCTTTAGCGCCAGTTATAATAATAGGTGGAATTTGTGCACTGCTTACTGATGGCTGTGTACTAAGTGTTCTGAGTGCTTACATGTATTAACTTGTAAAGTTAACAACGATCCTATGAAGTGAGTACTTTTATTATCTCCTTTTCTTAGAAAATAACTTGCCAAGAAATGTTGCCTTAGACCCTATAGGCTTGCTGTCATGTGACTCTGCTTGTGACATTTTATTTATTGCTCTTTTTATCATCCAGCCATTCAGTCATGTGTCTTCTTTTTCCTAGATGTTTAATCTGTTCCTGTCCCTAAATCCTTGATTATTTATAGTCTTGAATAGTATAGTCTTTTTCAGAGAAAGAATCTCTGAATTAGAATGTAAGAGTTCCTGTCCTTCTCTGTTAAAACTGCCACACGTGCTCTAAGCGTCCATTTAAAAGGTGAAAACTTAGGGTAATCATAAAAGGTTCATATGGCCAAAGTGAGTCTTCGGGTCCAAAAAGAGAACAAAATAAGATTATTGTGCAATCAGAGGAAAACTCGGTCTCTCCCTTGTGAAGCAAGATAATCTTAAATATGTCAGAAGCTGAGTCAAGATTGAATGAAGTGGGTGGAGGTTGTATAGCATAACTGTTAAAAGCATAGACTTTGAAGTCGGAAACACTCAGATTCCTTTCCCAGCTCTACCACTTAATCTCTTTGTGTGTAGGTTTCCTCAGATGTAAAATGGGGATAATAGTCTGCATCTTATAGGGTTGTTGATTGGATTAAATGAAATAATGCTTCTCTTAGCACAGACTTGGTATATGGTACCAAAAAAAAAAAAAAAAAACTAAACCCATTGCCCTTAAGTCAATTCCGACTCATAGCGACCCTATAGGACAGAGTAGAACTGCCCCATAGGGTTTCCAAAGAGCACCTGGTGGATTCAAACTGCCAGCCTTTTGGTTAGCAGCTGTATCCCTTAACTACTACACCACCAGGGCTCAGTAAATGTTACTTGCCCTTAGGCTTTCATTCAAATCTCAGGAATTGTTGGGTAAAGCCCTTAGCTCATCGCCTGGCAGAGATTGTGCACTCAGTGTGTGATTGCTGTTATTATTTCTACAACTACTAGTAGTAAATCAGTATTCATTGAGAACCTAACATATGCTGGAATTGTGATCTCTGATTTCAAGGAGTTCATTGTCATAGGCTACACAGATTAGTAAATGGACAATTATAATGGCATAAGTACTATATAGCAAGGTGTTATGACCAGTTGGGAGTTGGGGTCAGAGAAGGCTTCTGGAGGAAATGTCTGTGGAGGGTGCGGGGAGGAAGCAGCACTTGTGAACAACTTCTTGATAGCAGTCAAGGAATTAGTTCCTATTTGGCTAAAAATGGAGTAGAAGTTAAAGCATGGAGCTACCGAGGTAAACTATGACCAGATTATGAGGGCCTGGTAAACTACTCTAAGGAATTTAAACATTATAAGGTAATGTGGAGGTCCCTGGGTGGCACAAATGGTTGTGCTAACCTACTGACCTAAAGGTTGCTGCAGAAGAAAGGCCTGGTGATCTGTTTCCGTAAAGATCACAGCCAAGAAAACTCTGTGGAGCAGTTCTACTCTGTAACACATGGAATTGCCATGAGTCGGAACTGACTCAACAGCAACCGGTTTGGTTTTTTTTTTTTTAATGGTAATGTGGGGAGCCACTGAAGGACGGAGAGCATGTGATTAGATTTGCATTTCCAAAAGATCACTTTAGCTACCCTGTGAATTATAGAATGAAGAGAGACCAGTGATTTTGGTTTGGGATGGGAAAGATCGCTTGCTCACATGTTACTTCATTTATTGGAACCGAGAGACCTAAAGAGTTTCAATGATGATAAGAATGGGACAGTACAGATTGGCAAGGCACACGGATCTATTGGATATTTTGGGGGAAATGAACACCCATAATAGGTATAATTCAGGAGAATGAGCTGTATATACTTCCTTGAGTATGCCTGCTTTTATATTACATATTCTGTTGGTACTATGTTATAGAAACTAATGATACAAGTTTAGACAATAGTCCTGTCCCATAGAGAAATCTTGAAAAATTTCCACTACATTGTCTTAGCTGGTTGAAATACTAATAATACCGCTCATCTAACAAGTCTTGAAAATGTATTTTGTTTTTGTTTTTAAAAAAGAATCCCATTATCAAATTCTCTAGGCAGGGTTCAACACTAATAAATATTTTAGGCTTTGAGGTCCATCATCACTACTGCCTCTACCACTAACCACCACACATGTAAAAACTATTCTTAGCCCAAGGCCCATCCAGAAATAGGCACAGGCCTTAGTTTGCCAATCAACTCTTTTGCTGCTAACTGAAAGGTTGAAGGTTAGAGTCTACCTGGAGGCACCTTGGAAGAAAGGCCTGGTGAACTTTTTAAAAAATCAGCCATTGAAAACTCTGGAATATAGTTCTACTCTGACACACACGGAGTTGCCTTGTGTTGGAATTGACTTGATTGCAATTGGTTAACTGGCCCTGAGTGTTACAGTTTTATTATTTTCCATTATTTGATTATCTTTGTTTTTCAGTGCGTTCTTAGAAAACAGATTGTTGCCTCTTGATTTCTAATATTCTGTTTATATTGACTATCCAGAATCTCAGTGTTAGCCAGTTGTTTACCTTGTCTTGTATCAAATATTTTGCTTTTTTTTTCTTTTTAAATATATATATATTTAAATAATATTTTATTGTATCTTAGGTGGAAGTTTCCTCAGCAAATTGGGTTCCCATTTAACAATTCTTATACAAATTGTTCTGTGATTGGTTACATTTTTCACAGTTTGTCAGCATTCTCATTATTTCCATTCTGTTTGTTCCATTTCCATTAATCTAGCTTCCCTGCCCTTCCTTACCATCTCATCTTTGCTTTAGGGTAAATGTTGACCATTATAGTTGATTATTTAAGGGAGCACAGTACTCACGGGTGATATATTGTTTATTTTATAAGCTGTTTTGATTTTTAAGGTGAAAATATTTTGGTCCAAAGAAATAAGGGACTTTCCAAAGTTCTGTAGCAAATTAGTGGCAGAGCCAGAATCAGAACTTGTTTTCTGCCTCCAGGTTCAGTACTCTTCCTATTATACATTATGATGATAATTTGTGTGACAGTCTAAGTCCTGCCTGATAGCCCAGATATTTTAAGTAATGTTCTATTTATAATTCTAATACAGCAAAAACAGTCTGACAGCCTCCTAAAGCTGTAAGAGGATTTGTAGACTTGTTAGATTTGTGTTTTATTATCTTTTTTTTAACAGGAATAAGAGTATTGAAGTAGCCTGAAGACAAGCAACAGGCAGAAGGGAAAGCCAGGAAATTGAAGCCAAATTGAATTCTTCCCTTTTCCTTTTTTAGGTTCCTTTAAAACCGGGTAGAAGTCTTATGGATTGGATTCGACTGACCAAAAGTGGAAAGGACCTAACAGGATTGAAAGGAAGGTTAATTGATGTAACTGAAGAAGAACTTAAAAAACACAACAAAAAAGATGATTGTTGGATATGCATAAGAGGTAGGTGGTATTTCTTATGTACTTCAAAAAATAATCGGTTTCACTTTCAAACTATAATGCTGTATAATTCCTTGATTATGTTATTTGGTGATATGGCTCACAATTAAACAGAAATGTGCCTTTTACTGGACAGTAAATGATAAAATTCTGACTTTGGACAGTATTTATTCCTTAATAGTTTACATTGTGATTCAGAAAACAGCGAACTTCTGAAATGAGATTTTTTTTTTCCTAGCATCCCTATACTGAATTCTCTTTGAAAGGAAACAGATATTGGCCAATTTAATGCCAAAGTAGTTAAGTAACATCCAGTTTATATTGAGTAACTTCCCACCTCAGTGCCTTGTAACAAAATTCTGTCAGGAAAAAAAAATATTTCTGAGAATCTGTAGTAAATCAGAAAACCCTGCATTAAAGATTCTTTCCTAAGAACCTTCATTCACACTTGCAGAAGTTTTTATTGTTATTTATTGAATATGTCTTAGCAAGAGTAGTTACCTGATTTTTCCAGCATGCAGTAAATTAGAGGCCCCAAACTAGAAATGGGTATATTGGAAGGAGAGAGCAGAGTGATAGGAGGGTAGATAATAAAAGCAGACATCATGCTAACCAATAACCTGCCATCTTGGAGGGGAGCAAAAATCATGAAGAGTATAGAACTATACAGTGGGCATCCATAGTGATGCCCTTGAGTCATCCAGACATGGTTAAGTATGACCACTATTTTCTATCTAAAGAGAGACAGAAGTGTGTCCTTTATTGCTCAAAGCCACCTCGCCTCTCTGGCTAAGTGTTGTCTGCTAGACTGGGTAAACTGGAGGTCAGTTTCCTGGGAGCGTCCCTCAGCTGGCCTAGGCTACAGGCATGTCGAGTTCTGTTTCTACAGTAGAAAGCCACTTCTCAAGAAAATTCACTTATGTGAACTTTTCGTTTCCTGGTGATATTAGATAAATGAAGCACTATAATACAGTAGTACTTTATTGTTTATTTGATGTATTCATGGGGACTGGGTTGCTGTGTTTGAAAAGTAATATACATACTTCTCCCAGTTAAATATCTCTTTCAATAATCTGAATGTATGGTACCTCTTCTGATAAGGTCGTGATTTAAACATAGCTTTTTAAAAAAGTTTCTGTTGGGAAATGTTGTTCTACTCTATCAATAATAAAGCTTTTTCGCGTTTTGCAAAACTAACAGTCTTTTTTTTGGACAGAATTTGGGTTTTTGATTTTGTCAAGAAACACTCATTCAGTTTAGGCCCTGCACTTCGAGCTTCTACTCTAGTAGGTTGGACAAGCCTGAATGAAGGCTTGTTAGACAAAACAAGGCTGAATGAAGACTTTGTGCCATAGGAGGACTACAAAGAAAGTGATACCAGATTGAAGCGAGGCAGACACGGGGGCTAGGAAAATCAGGGATGCCTGGTGGTGCAGTGGTTAAGAGCTTCACTGCTAACAAAAGGTCAGCAATTCGAATACACCAGCCACTGCTTGGAAACCCTATAGGGCAGTTCTACTCTGTCTTAATAGGGTTGCTGTAAGTTGGAATTGATTCTACAGCAACAGGTTTGGTTTTGATTTGTTTTTTGTGGTGGAAATCAGCCTTGAAGCACTGGACAGGCTGTCAACAGGAAATGATGAGGGAGTATATCCAAGTGGAGGGAAGGGCCAAAACAAAGGTGCAGACACAGAGAAACTTGAGGTATGTTCTGGAGCTTAGGCTACTGGCTGCAGAATTATAAGAAAGAAGACTGGAAAGGCAGGCTAGGTCAGATTGTGGAGGATCTTGAAAGCCAGAGTGAGGGAAAGGTGTTCTTAATTTAAGTGGCGTCGTGAACTACTGGAGAGATTTGAATGTAGGCACAGTGTGAGCAGAGTATACCTTGGAGAGATTAATTTGTGAATTGAAATGGGACAAGGAAAGCATTTAACTCATTACAGTAGTACATACAGATGGTAATAGGAGCTGAACCAGGATATTGACAAAGACAATGGATAGTAGGATGAGTGTGAGATGAACAGCGTACTGGCAATTTGTAACATGTCCCCAGATGGAAATCAAAGAAAGCACATGACTAAATGTAGTTGTCTTTTTCTTCTTAGCAGTCTTAATTTAAAGTATCTCCGATAGCACCTTCAAGGAGGAATGTATGCTGACTTTAGCTTTGAATGTCAGAGATCTGTTTCGACCTAAGTTTTAATCAAAGCTGTACTACAGGGACGCATGGTGTCATTTTTTTTCTTTTGTTAAATATTGAATTCTTCATTTTCTAACAGTTGCTCCATTTTTAGATCAGGTCTAAATTCAGCTGATAAGGTTGAGGCAGAAAAATGAATTTCTTCAAGAAACCTTAGAAAATGTACAATTTGATGTGGTTTTTAAATATAATATTTTGGGGACTACTTTCTTTTTTGAGTATGTAGCAGCAGTTCTGCATCATCTTCAAATGTGCTGAACCTGGTCACATTCCTAACAGTGGTGATGTGGAAAGAGCACTTGGCTGGCAGCAGGCACTCTCTGAACCTCAGCTCTCTCCACAGTAAAATGTGGGTATTGGCCTGCAGTGATCTCTAGGGCAGATACATGGAGTCCCTAGTTTGTTTATTTTAGTCTCACCATTTTCTGTAACGTATGTAATGATTGTAATGCATAAGAATAATTATCTGGAAATTTGAGAGAATGGGGGGTACTGCTTTGTCAGAAATCTTGTTGAATTTAACATTAATTCATGCTTTTGTAGTTTTCTCCCTTATTGCTGTCTATCTTTCTCTCAGGAACTAAAGGTGATTTACAAGTACGTGAAGCTTTGAGCAAACGTGTACATCACTTGTCTGTGAGACCTCTGTATAGCTTAAATCAGACTTTGTTTTTATTGTGGTATGATATGTTTTATGGAAGTATGTAGCCAGTGTTAATAATGATGATTGATTTACGCTTAATTACTTGGAAGACTGTAGAGTAGGCTGTCAGGAAGGGAAGATCGTGAACAGGTTGGAATCCTGTAGGCATAGATTAAATCTGTTGTCCACGGGCAGAATTTCTTCTCTCTGCTAGGAAGGCCTTAGCCTTGCTTTTAAGGCCTCCCAACTGATTATGTCAGGCTCACTCAAGGTAGTCTTCCTTACTTATAGTCAACTGATTAGGGACTTTATGTTTGCTTTGCTTTGCAGCAGCACCTCCATTAGTGTTTGATTGAATAACTGGGAACTGTAGCCTAGCCAAGTTGACACATTAAAAAAAAAAAAAAGCCACCACAGGGAGTATTCCCTCCTCTTTTTTTCTGGAAGAGCTTTTGTAAAACTGTTCCCCTTTCCTATCTTAGATGTTTGCTAGAATTTATCTGTGAGGTCATGAATTTTCTTTGTGGGGAATTTTTTTTTTAATTGCACTTTAGATGAAGGTTTATGGAGAAAATTAGTTTCTCATTAAACAATACACAAATTGTTTTGTGACATTGGTTGCCAACCCCACGATGTGTCAGCACTCTCCCCTTCTCAACCTTGAGTTCCCCATTTCCATTCGTCCAGCTTTCCTGCCCCTTCTGCCTTCTTGTCCTTGCCCTGAGCTGATGTGCCCATTTAGTCTCATATACATGGTTGAGCTACATGTATTATTGTTTGTTTTATGGCCTATGTAATCTTTGGCTGAAGGGTGAACCTCAGGAGTAACTTTAGTACTGAGTTAAAAGGGAATCCGGGGGCCATACTCTCAGGGTTTCTCCAGTCTCTGTCAGACCAGTAAGTCCAGTCTTTTTTTTTTCAATTGTACTTTAGATGAAGGTTTACAGAATAAACTAGCTTCTCATTAAACAATTAGTACACGTATTGTTTTGTGACATTGGTTACCAACTCCACGACATGTCAACACTCTCCCCCTCTCAACCTTGGGTTCCCTATTATCAGCTTTCCTGTTGCCTCCTGCCTGCTCATCCTTGCCCTTGGGCTCGTGTGCCCATTTAGTCTCATTTTGTTCTATGGGCATGTCTAATCTTTGGCTGAAAGGTGAACCTCAGGAGTGACTTCATTACTGAGCTAAAAGGGTGTCTCGGAGCCATACTCTCAAGGTTTCTCCAGTCTCTGTTAGACCAGTAAGTCTGATGTTTTTTGTAAGTTAGAATTTTGTTCCAAATTTTTCTCCATCTCTGTCTGGGACCTTCTTTTGTGATCCCTGTCAGAGCAGTCGGTGGTGGTGGCCGAGCATGATCTAGTTGTGCTGGACTCAGTCTGATGGAGGCTGTGGTAGTTGTGGTCCATTAGTCCTTTGGAGTAGTCTTCCCCTTGTGTCTTTGGTTTTCTTCATTCTCTCTTGTTCCAGATGGGGTGGGACCAACAGAGTATCTTAGATGGCCACTCAGAAGTTTTTAAGACCCCAGACGCTACTCAGCAAAGTAGGGTGTAGAACATTTTCTTTATAAACCATGTTATGCCAGTTGAGCTAGATGTCCCCGAGACCGTGGTTCCCCAGCCCTCAGCCCAGTAATTCGGTCCTTCAGGGAGTTTGGGTGTGTCTATGAAACTTCTATGACTTTGCCTTGGTCAAGTTGTACAGACTTCCCCAGTATTGTGTACTGCCTTAACCCTTCACCAGAGTTACCACTTATCTATTGTCTATTTAGTGTTTTTCCCTCCCTGCCCCTCCCCTCCATTGTAACCATCAAAGATTGTTTCTTTCTGTGTGCAAACCTTTTCATGAGTTTTTATAGTAATGGCCTTATACAGTATTTGTCCTTTTGTGATTGACTTATTTCACTCAGCATAACACCCTCCAGATTTATCCATGTTGTGAGATGTTGCGCAGATTCATTGTTGTTCTTTTGGGGAAATTTTGGTTACAAATTCAATTTTTAAGAGGCATATAGGGCTATTCAAATTTTCTATTCTTCTTGTGTCAGTTTTTACCAGTTGTGTTTTCAGTGAATTTATTTTGTCTAAGTTGTTGAATATGTTGGCATAAAGTTGTTTATAATATTCTCTTGTTATCTGTTTAATTTAGGTTTTGTA